CTTGAACTACGATATTGAATATTATTTTAATATTAGTGGTAATTTGATTGAAATAAATTTTTGGATATATTTCATTAAGAAAATAAACATACATAATTGTCAATAATTAATATTATGAGGTATATAGTCAATTATTTTACAATATTTAAAAAATATTTTAAGCATTTAATTTTTTTTTCAAATAAAACATAGAAATACTAATACAATATTAATCAAATATATTTTATAGAGATTTTAAAAGGCACAATAAATCTGAAATAACATAAGCTCCCTAGGGGTAACTTTGAATCCAACTGTGATCAAGAAGATCCCTCAAATGTTTTCAACATCAAGATTGTATTTTAGAAAAATCCCATCAAATACAAGAATACTTCCAATCAATTTCAAGCCGCATATAGTCCATATTGGATTTTTGTCGTGGGCAAGGTCTTAATCTCGACCTCAAAAAGGCAGTAACGGTCTAAGGATAGACCCTTATTTACCTTTGATTCACGATACACGCGGCGTACGTCCCCTCCCATTTAAGATAAAATCCATCCCAGGGGGATTCAATTCGACCTCTTCCACAAAAATTAACATCATCAAGCAGGGCTCTAACAAACAACCATGGATAGGTCAAACATCCTAGGAGGATGTCAATAAAATCTTAAATTCTTGATTCGAGAAATACGCAATCTTTATTGTATCTCAATCATTGGATGATCAATCCTAGGGGATTCGATTCGACCTCTTTCATATAGGTTAACGTCATAGAGTAAGGCTCTGACATACAACCTCAGATAGATCTTACATCCTTGATGGATTCTATCAACCTCTTCCATAAAAGTTAATCTCATCGAGCAAGGTTCTGACATACAACCTCAGATATGTCTTACATCCTTGGTGGATTTTTTTGACCTATTCCATATAAGTTAATGTCATCAAGTAAGACTCTGACATACAACCTCGGATAGGTCTTACATCTTTGGTGGATTCTCTCGACCTCTTCCATATATGTTAACGTCATCGAATAAAATCCCTGACATACAACCTCAAATAGGTCTTACATCCTTGGTGGATTCTCTCGACCTCTTTCATATAGGTTAATTTTATCAAGAAAAGCTTTGACATACAATATCGGATAGGTATTATATCCTAAGTGGATTCTCTCAATCTCTTCCATACAGGTTAACGTAATCGAGCAAAAGCTTCGATATACAATTCCGGATAGCTCATACATCCTTATTGAATATTCTTAACCTCTTCCATATAGGTTCACGTCATCGAGCAGGGCTCTGACATACAACATTGGATAGGTCATATATCTTTAGTGGATTCTTTTAACCTTTTTTATATAGATTAACATCTCAAGAATATCATCGGACTTCTACCCGACGCTGCACTTTTATCCAATGTTAGACTTCTTCCCAACACTGGTCTTGTGCCCGTCGTTGAACTTTCATTGGTTTTTTGCCCGTTGTCAAACTTTTGCTCACCGCCAGACTTCTTTCCGACATCAAACTTCTACCTAACGTCAAATTTTCACCTGTCATTGGACTTCTGCCCGTCGATGGACATTCGTCAAACTTCTACGTGATGCCATAATTTTGCCGATGTCGGACTTCTGCCCGACGTCAAATTCTTACTTATTTTTAGACTTCTGTACATCATCGAGCTATCATCGGTTTTCTACATGATATCGTACCTATACCCGATGCCAAAATCTTTGCATGTCATCGAACTTATGCCCATCAACATGCTTTCATTGGATTTTTATCCTTCATCAAAATTATGCCCGACATCAGACCTCTATAGGATTTCTCAAAAATAGAGGAGAAGATTCCTACTCAGTGAGGGGCCCTAGACCTGCATAGGGGACCCTACCCGAACAGGACTAGAGGAATGCCTCAGCATGAGGAAGAGAATAAGAAGGGGGAGAATCTCCTTCTTGCACAGAGGGGCCTCGGGCTTGGACAGGGGATGCCCCTGTGTAGGGCCCGGGTGAAGGCCTTAGATGAATGAAGAAGAAGGGGTGGGGAGAAATCTCCTTATTGCAGAGAGGGGCCCCTGGCCTGGACAAGGGATGTCGCCTGTGCAGGGCTCGAGGGAATGCCTCACATGAAAGAAGAAGAAAGGGGAAGAAATTTCCTTCTTGCAGAGAGGGGCCCTAGGCCTGGATAGGGTATGCTGCCTATGTAGGGCCGGGAGGAATGCCTTAAGTTAAAGAAGAGAATGAGGAGAGGGGGTAAGTTTTTCATACCCCAAGGGGGGTATTTATAGGTGTGAGAGAGAGAAGTTGGAGGAGTTGGAGAAGTTGTGGTGGTTATGAAAAAAAAATGCATGGGTATTGTAGCAAATCGCTACTGTAGCAGTCATCATAGCAAACCATCAGTGGTTACTGTAGCAAACTGTTACAGCAGATGGCGACACTGTAGTAAACCGTTACTGTAGATGACGGTTAACAGATGTTTCGGGCTCGATTTTCATGTCGGACAATCCAAATTACACGTTTTGGGGGTCCTCAAAAAGGTTTTTTGGTGTTCTGGATCCAATTTTAACACTTTTGGAGCTCAATGAGGCCTCTATGATCGAGTTTGAGCAAATTTATATTTTCTAGAAAGGAATTTTCTGACAATTTTTATAAATCAATCAATTGTAAGTGTTATATTATATATTTTCAGACTCTATAAGTTTCTACGTCTGAAAATAGGGGGACAAATAATACGTTATCAAAAAATTTATCTTGGTCGGGCACGAATCTCGATGTAATATCAACTTGGAAACTTTTGAAATTAAAATTTGGACCATTCAAACTCTGATTTTAGCAAACTTACAGTCAAACTGAATGTCTCGAAAATACAAATCCAACAGCACCAAATTCAACTCGATCTGAGTTCAAATAAAGGGCCCGAAGCGTTATTGGAAGGTTCAAACCACAATTTAGATTACCAAATGGTTTCCAAACATTACGTGCTTATAGTTGAATCAAGTGGCTCAACGAGATGAATCCATTGAGCCCAAGATCACAAAATTCCTACATCACTAAGAACTTCAAATGTATGATGAATGATCCATGATCAAGGGATTCAATATCGATCGTCCATCCAACCACTCCCCCTTTACCCTTGTTCACTCACCTATTTACAGGCCATGGCACTCTAGAAATCTATAAATAGACTCCTCTTTTCTCTTCAAAAGAGACTTAAGCAAGAAGAGAAGAAGAGAAGAAAAGGAAGAAGAGAAGGAAGAAGCTCCTCCTCGACCACCGCCTGAGTTTCGCCAAACCACCGCCTAACATCGTTGCTCCGTTGGACCACCACCTGAGGCCCTCACCTTCGCTGAACCATTTCTTGATGCCCTCACCCTCGCTAGACCACCTCCTGAGGCCCTTAACCACGTCGGACCACCACCTTAGACCCTCACCTTCGCTGGACCACCGACTAAGACCCTCGCCCTCGCCGGACCATCACCTGAGGCCCTCACCTTTGTCGGCCACCGCAAAAGACCCTCACTCTCACTGGACCACCACCTGAGGCCCTCACCTTTGCCGGACCACCACTTGAGGCCCTAAGCTCTGTCGGACCACCACTTGAGGCCCTAAGCTCTGTCGGACCACCACTTGAGGCCTTGAGCTCCGCTGAACTACCACTTTGAGGCCCTGAGCTTTGTCGAACCACCACTTGAGGCTCTGAGCTCCCCTGAACTACCACTTTAGGCCTCGGGTTCTGCCAGACCACCACCTGATGCCCGGACTTCTCCCAGACCACCACGTGATGCCCAAAATTCTCCTAGACCTCCACGTGATACCTCTGATTTCTACCGGACCACCACTTGAGGCATGGACTTCTGCTAGAACACCACCTAAGGGCCAAACTTCTACCAAACCACCGCTTGATTCCTGGACTTCTATCGAAGTACTGACCTACTACTATGGTCTTTCAGACCCCTGTCTTCTACCAACCACGGTCCTTCCGATCTCCATCGTTTACTATGGCCCTTGCGACCTCCATCACCAGACAACAGTCTTTCTGATCCCGATCTCCTTTTAACTACGGTCTTTCAGACCCTTATCTCATACCGGCTATGGTCTTTCCGACCACCATCGTCTACTATGGTCCTTGCAACCTCCATCACAATACAACAGACTTTCTGACCCTGGTCTCCTGCCAACTACGGTCTGTCAGACCTCTGTCTCCTACCAACTATGATCCTTCTGACCTCCGTCACTTACTATGGTCCTTCTGACCTCCATCACTAGATAATGATCTTTCTGATAGCTATCATATCAACTATGGTCGTGCCAACCAAACAAACATGTCTATATTGTAACTCCCACCATGTAATGTGCTCTATATGATGTACATTTGTACCATCAAGCCAAGGCCTTCTCCCAAAGAAGGGTCTCATTCGTAATTGACTGCAAATACTAGTTGATTCATTAAATCTGGGTCAGGCCCCGTGGTTTTCCCCCCTTTTTAGGGGTTTACACGTAAAAACTCTGGTCTCTTATGAACCCTGCACCCTCTATCTTATCTGCTTGTGTGATGCATCTTCGTACAATGCTAAGATGCTAAACTTTATATTTCTTTACCGCCGCGAATACTCTAGGACGCAACAAAAACATTTATTAAAATAATATCTAAATAAATTATTTGATAATTCATATTAAGATTATGAAATTCTTAAATAATTTATTGGATAATTAAAGTAGCTTCTAATTATATTATTCATGAATAACTCATAATTTGTTTAATTTCTAATTGAATTAACGGCCATAAATCTTGGATTACATTGCTAAACAATTCTTAAAATTTATCAATGTATATATATATATATATAATACCAAATAAAATACAGAATTTAATATAATCAAAATTTACTAAATTCAAATTTACAGAATTTACTAAATCCTATCAACTTAAATGCAATTCAATACCAAACAATCCCTTAGAGCTATTTACAATTCTAGATTTTATTCCGTCACGATATATGAAATCACGACCAGTCCCCAAAGTCAAAAGAAAAAGCAACCTCAGAGCTCATCTCCATCAAAAACAGCTCAACTCCCAACCCAAAACATGAAAAAGCTATCCTCCAAAACCCCACCTCCCATGGAATACCGCGCACACTACGCAGTAGCCATACACACCATAGCGAGCCAGAAAGCAACCAAAGAAATCCAGAGACACATAGCAAAGAGCCGTCTCTGATCTCTCTGTCTGCTCTCTCTTTCTCTCTCTCCTTCCCCGACCGCCCATGTCCAAATCCCCCTACCGTTATCCTTTTGGCTTCCTTATTTCTTTCATCGATGCTCTTTTACTCTTCTTCCTCGACTTCCTCACTACCTCATTTCTATTTCCACACTTCTTCTTCCTCCTTGACCATTCCTACTTCATCTTCTCCTACCCCTTCTCCTCCAATCTCCCCCCGCGTAGCATGCGTAGAACCACTTCCCCTTGTTTTTTCTGATGGCATCCACCTCCTGCCTCCTCCTTCCTCATCCCCATGATCCCTCCAACGCCTCCCCTTCCTCTATTAATTCCCAAGAAGACCCTCTTATCTTCCTCCAAGAAACTTCATTTACTCCTCTCCCTGCGGTAAAAATGGCGAGAAAACGCCCTGCATCCGAGATCGACCTCCAACCCGACCCACCTCGTCGCCCTCCTCCACCCTTCTCCTCTGACCAGCTACTCCTCTCCGACACTCCCCAAAGTCTCGCCTTGTCTTCTCTCCCTCCTCTTCCTCCAACCGCCCCTGCTCCCTCCGCCCTCTGCAGTTTCTCCGGCCTCCCCCTCTTCACTTCTGAGCCTAACCGCACAGCCACTGGCCCGCAAAACTCCACCTTGGATGCCGAGGACACTTCATCTTCTGCCTGGATCGATGGCATCATCCGAGACCTTATCACCAGCGCCGCCGCTAACGTATCGATCCCACAAATAATCCACAATGTGCGCGAGGTCATCTTTCCTTGCAACCCCGGCCTCGCAGCCGTTCTCGAGTTTCGCCTACGGTCTCTCTCCTCCGACTCTCAAACGCCAGTGGAGCCAGCAAATAAGCGAAGAGAACCCTCACAGTGCAATTTGGTCCCAACCTGGGAAGAGCAACAGAATCATAATAACGCTACAATCAACCCACCAAATGCTGCTGCCTCTGTCTCATCGGAGGAAGCTGCGGCAGCTCCACCGCCGCCGCCGCCGCCTCCAACGGCGTTGGCCTCAGCGGCGAGGAAAGAGGAGCTCCGGCAGCAGAAGCGCGACGAAGATGGACTCCATTTGCTAACTCTTCTTCTCCAATGCGCGGAGGCCGTCGCCGCCGACAACCTTGAGGAAGCTAACCGTCTTCTGCTTGAGATTTCGGAGCTTTCGACTCCTTTCGGCACATCGGCGCAGCGCGTAGCGGCTTACTTCTCCGAAGCAATGTCCGCTCGTCTCATAAGCTCTTGCCTCGGTATTTACGCGCCATTACCGCCAATTGCTGTTCACCGACAGCGTCTGGCTTCGGCCTTTCAGGTTTTTAATGGCATAAGCCCGTTCGTAAAATTCTCACATTTTACTGCGAACCAGGCGATACAGGAAGCATTTGAGCGCGAGGAATGTGTGCATATCATCGATCTCGACATTATGCAAGGACTTCAGTGGCCGGGATTGTTTCATATACTCGCATCTCGACCCGGAGGCCCACCGCGTGTTCGTCTAACTGGTCTTGGTTCTTCACTTGAAGCTCTTCAGGCAACAGGGAAGCGGCTCTCTGATTTTGCTGAAACTCTTGGTCTTCCGTTTGAGTTCTGCCCCGTCGCAGACAAGGTCGGCAACCTCGACCCCGACCGGCTGGGTGTATCACGACGGGAGGCTGTTGCCGTTCATTGGCTTCACCACTCGCTTTACGATGTCACTGGATCAGACACCAACACACTCTGGCTACTACAGAGGTAACCCCTCACATTCTCTCTCTTAAAAAAAGTTTCTCCTTTTTCCTCCAAGGTCGCGCCTTTTTTTAGAAGGATCGCCATGGAGGGGCCAAATGCTTGGTTCTATCGATGTCTCAAATCTGAACCATCCTTTCCTGCATCGCCTTCTTGAGATCCGGAAAGAAGAGTTTTTTCATGGGTCGCATCTTTGGATTAGAAGAAGCTAAAAAGTAGTAATTATTATTACAGTACTTCTATCTTCGTCTGTTGATCGCTTTTCTTTCCATAATCATTACAAGTTTCCAACTTTTGCTTTTTGAAATCTTTGACCTCTCTCCCTGCGCATTATTTTAAGCTCCGATTAACACTATTGATGAAAAAGTACTCTTTTTATTGATCGATCAGGTTGTCGCCGAAGGTGGTGACGATGGTGGAACAGGATTTGAGCCAAGCGGGCTCATTTCTTGCGCGATTCGTCGAAGCCATCCACTACTACTCTGCTCTCTTCGACTCCCTTGGCGCGAGCTACGGTGAGGAGAGCCAAGAGAGGCATATCGTCGAACAGCAGCTGCTTTCGAGGGAGATTCGCAATGTGCTCTCCGTCGGCGGTCCGGCACGTTCTGGTGAGATCAAGTTCGGGAATTGGAGGGAAAAACTGAGCCAGTCGGGCTTCCGTGGCGTCTCGCTCGCCGGAAACGCGCATGCTCAGGCAACGCTTCTTCTCGGTATGTTTCCTTCGGATGGTTACACTTTAATGGAAGAAAATGGAACGCTTAAGCTTGGGTGGAAAGATCTTTGTCTCTTAACGGCGTCGGCGTGGAAGCCGATTCAAACTCCGGTGACAACCTGCGCTGGATATGGTGGCGTTGCAAGGTAGGAGGAAAGAAGAAGAGCTTTTGTTCATTGGAATGGCTTTCATATTGGTGTACATGGTGTGAGACTGGAAAGAATGGGCCAAAATTGAAGAGATTAAACAGTGCATCTTTCGTGTAATACTATATCATTATTCCTAATCGATCCCTTACTTCCATGAGAGATGTAGTTATGCTCATCATTCTGTCATTATTACTAATCCATGTTTTCTGTAGTCTATTATTTTTTTTGTTTTGTTTTTGAAGATAAAATTGTTTTCTTCCTGTTGGTTCAATGTTTGTTTTTCTATTGGGTTAATTAACTTGTTCTCTTAGTCTAAATTCAAGCTGGAGCTATATACTTCATTTGGAGCTTCATAACTCGCCAATGAGAAAAATTGGGATATTTTGCTCCTTATAAATTGGATGAAATTATGGTAATAAAGGGTCAATATTAGTCATCATATGTGTAGTCATTGTGGCATAGGCAAGTTACATATGTAGAAAACATAAAATTATTCGGTGCGAGCGATTGTGTACTATTGTATACCTGATGACATGGCATGTTCTGATTCGCCTTAAAATAGTGTCACAGTGAACAAATTAAATCAAATCAAATGTGCAGTATGCAAAAGCAGCTATCCAAATGATGGAATGATAGCAGCCAAATTACACCTGGAGATACTATACAATCCATTGCTCAGAAAATTATATTGTCATCCAAGTACAAGAAGTGTCCATCAAAATTTCTGTATATTTACGATGAGAAATGAGCAGAAGACCTAAGTAACTTACAGTTTCTCCAGCAAAAATTGTAATAGAAATAGCTTCTATCCCCGACAATATTATGGCCTTTGAGAATCATGAAATATCATGGTTCCATCCATGACTGAAGAGAATAGATGACACTGACTCATAACAAGAACATTGGAGATATTTCAAGATCAAATTCTGCCTTGTTGAACCTCAAAATTGTAAAGAAAAATAAGGATGAGTTTCACCCTTTGCCCAATCAAAAAGTGAAATGTATAAAGAAGGAATGAAAAAATTGTATATGAGAGAAGAAATTCACTAGTTCCAAGAGCAGCAATAGTATAATGATCAGATGTTTTTATTTTTTAAAATTTAGACTAATTAAGATAGATTCATACACAGCATGCACTATACTTGAACTCAAGACCTCTTAGTTGGTAGCAGAAGCTCTCAATCAATAGTGAAAGTGAGTTGTTAATGACCAAATATTATCAAGGAACAACTTATGTTTCAACTTATTTCTCTTTTATCAAATGTATAAATAAATATTATCCTTCATTATACCCAAATTAGAACATCACCTAAATCTTCTTGAGATTTTACTAGAAAACTACTATGCATAAACCAAAGCTTGAAGGATGGACCAATTATGTGAAAAAAGTGCCAAATGAATGTACTTTTTAAGCAAGGTAAAGGCAAAAAGATAGTAAAAAATAATAATAATAAATAAAAAAGGCAAAAGGGTAGTAAAAAATAAATGACTATGACTCTAAATTGCACTTACACAAAACGAATACTCTAGAGACCGACAATCCTCTTTCAGCTAAAACATGACTTATTTTCAATACTCTATTTTGGATCATTCAAGCAAAGTAATCATATTTTAACGAATAACCTTTAAACCAAATAAACCTACTCCATTCAATGTTGCCAATTTGTAAATGAAGTATTACATAAGCCCCTTTAAAGCAATAGTAATATTTGCCATTCTAGTGGCAAGTAAGGCCATCAAACTTAATTAATGTTATTAATACTCTTCTAACAAGAATAGTCAACCTCACAATTAATAGAAAGAAAGCTCATGTGTCCATAAATCATAAATTCATTAGTTCAAGCATTCATGTTAATACAAAATCATTGTAAAACATAAAGAAGAATTAATTAACCAAGGTTCATGAAGGATAAAATGCTACAAAAGGTAATGTTGAAAGTAATTTTTCCTTACAATTGAATGGATTATAGGTAAAGAGATCTCCACATGACTGAAACCTTCTTGTGCTATCATTTTCAAATGAAGCCATAATAAGTAATGCACAACTCAATTAAGCAAGAATCAAAATTAAGATTAGGTAAATAAAGTTTATTCATAATGTCAAATGAGAGAAACCTAGTCCCTCTTATTCATTAAAAAATAACACAGTGCATCATGAGATGTGTAAAATTACTTCTTGTATAATTATATTGAAAAAAAAAAATTAGACATAAGGATGATAATCCTTTCCAGTACATATTTATGAAAAAAATTTGTCCTTAAATAATATAGAAGGTAACACCAGTTAGTTAATTGATTAATTAAAGTCATATACTAAAATATAAGAGTTCTTGCTTTTAATCTGAAAGCCAAGATTAAAGTTTGCCAAAAATATTTATTAAATCACATATCTTGAGCCTAAAAGAAGAGATATTAATTCCCAAATAGTTCTAAGAAAGGGGTTTGCACCTTATATTCAGAATGACAGTACAATGTTAAGCTAAAGGTGTATCCACAACTTTAGAAAAATAGAGGAGAAATTTATCCTAATTATTGATCTTGAGGTCAGTCATTTTAGCAAAAGCTTTAAAGAGTACTGTTAAGGAAAGTAAAAAAAGGTTATGTTAATTTTCTTAAAAGTAATGAGGTCATTAGCATAGATGAAAAAAGACACTCTAACATTATTGTTTAAGCTAGCCATAAATTGACTGTCCAAACAAATAGAATTTAACATAGACGTGATATATCCACGAACATAATAAATACAAAGGGGAGATGGGACGACCTTGTTAGAAGCTAAAAGATGATTGGAATATCCCTAGAGTTCATCATTCATGAAAATCGAGAATAAAACTTTATATATTAAATTGATAATACATATTTTTTTTTTTTTTTAAAAAAAGAGCAAAGAATCCAAACATTATTAGTTGGTTGTAAAGAGCATCTCGATTAATACTATCAAAGCTTTCTTTAAATTATTTTTAGCATTAAATTTTAGGACAAAAATTGGAATTGGACCCCTAGAGGAGTTCATTACTAAGGGAAATCTTATCTACTATCTCTACCATGATTGAAGGCATCTAAAGCATCATTGATAAGAAAAGGGATGATGCATTTAAGTTTATTAGCCAAAAGTTTGGCAATTACTTTCTATATAGTATTACAATAGGTGATAGTTTTAACGTCCTTTAAGCTTACATATGGTTGAGAAGCTTGATCGTATGGAAGAAGTAATGCTTAGCCTCCACTATAGCTGGAGTTTTCACCTCCCTTAAATACATGAAGAATTTTGAACCAAAAATTATTTGGACCTAGGCATTTATCATTTAAAATACTACAAAGAGACGCTTTCATGTTATCGATAAAGAAGGGATCCAAAAGGAATATGTGGTCATCATAGAAAATATGATGTACAATGACTAAGTTGTTAATAAAAATGTGAAAGATACAAAGCTAATTTAGGAATAATAGAGAAACATGAATATGTGCAATAATGATGTCATTTTGAGTAATGTAGGTACTAGGAGTGATAATTTCCATGATGTGAATAAGATTCCATCCATTCTCAATTTTATGGAATAAAAAAATTGAAGTTCTACTCAAACTTAAACAATAAAATGCACTTGGCTTACTATTTGAACTATTTGGAATAACTGAGAGACAAAGGATTTTAAAGCAGAGAAGGGTTCAATAGATTATGTTGATGAAGATCATACAACTTATCATTTTTCAATTTCATACCAATATTTGAACTAAAATTGAAGGCACTTAATACCTTTAAAAGCAATTTCACATTAGATAGTTATTAAATGATACAAATAAAGGATCACTTCTAACATAAATTTTCCAAGCAGTTGCAATCAGCACCATGAAGCTATGACATAAGCTCCAAAAGTTCTTTTAAGGAAACACGTGATTAAGCTTAGAGTAGGATCCTAAATAAATAGTAAAAGGAAATTAATCCATTGATAGAAGGAAAAACTTTATAGTTGGTTCAAGGATTACTATGAAGCTAATCCTCATTCTAAAAAGATCCATTGAGGAGACTCTGAATAGATATTTTTGGCTATTGATTTAATTAACTAAAAGAAAGACAATTGTTAGGAAGCTCCAAAAGGAAAACATTAAAAAATTCAACCATTAAAATTGATTAAACAGCTTGGGATTGGACTCTTCCCACCAACATTTTGTTTGGTAGCCCTAATATAAATAAACTCGCCCAAAATAAATAGTAAGTGAGCAATAAGAGTAGAATCAATAATAAACTTCCACAAATCTCACCGTTCATTGGAACCATTTTCTATAAAAATGAAGATAATGAAGAACTTAACAAATAATGAAAACTCATAAATATCTTAAGGAGGAGAAGTAATACCCATGAAAATGACCTAGTGTGGTCTCTTGTGAGGAAAATACAACCCCTAAAGCAAATCAAAAAGTTATTATAACTAGCCAAATTACCAAAAATTTGGAAGTTCCTTGTAAAGAAATTATCAAAGGTGAAAGAAAAGTACTCTTTTACTTTCAAAAGACATATAATGCCAATCTTTGAGTTTTTTACCAACTCCCTACACTCAAAGAGCCAAAATGCCTCCATTAAAATCTTTGACATTTCTACAAAAAATGGAAGGTTATTGGGATTTGAGAAGGCAAAATCCCTTTTTAGATTTTTTTTCCTCAATAGAAGGATGGGGATATTAGCCATAATAATTTTTGTAGCAAGACCCACATAATTGTCAAGCTTCCTACTGGGAATGTCAATGGAGGGGAAAGAATAAGTTCTTTGACTTTTTAGCAAATTTTAATAACTAGATGTAATATTATGATATTTGTATTGATTTGGAAGAATAAAATCATAGAAAATGGGAAGGGATATAAAAGCATCATTCATTTGATGATTTGTGGTTATGTTCAAAGGAGTGAAGTGAAGATTGTCAACAGGGGGGGGGGGAGCGCAGGTAACAACCTTTGTATTTTCCCCTAAAAGTAAAATTGGGCTCCTACTTATATATATAAGTATGTTGCATAGAACAGAAGAACTGGTGTGGATTTGAAAACTAACTATGACAAAATCTATCAAGATTTAGAGGTTGTTAGAGATTCAATTATGATGGAGTTTCCAATACTATTAATAATTATAATTTTAGATATAACATATTAAATTTAATAGCGTAAGAAGAGATTTATAACTTCATTTAAATGAGAGCCTCTTTAAAATCTTTCTAAATAGGGGTAAAATCTCAAGAGAATTTGAAAAGGTTAAAGTCGTCGATTAAAAATT